AATGAGAATTTAGTGGAGGGGAAAATTGATACTGTGTGAAAGAACATCTCAAACTTAATGTGTCCAAAACTCCCTGTCTCCTCCAGCATCTGTGTCACCCTATCATCGACTCGTCCTAAAAAATGAGCAACAGGCCCCCAGGTGCCAAGCCAGAGCTGAGACTCACTTCCCACATCCCCTCCATCACCTGGTGCATCTGTTCTTCCTCTACGATGTATCTCAGGTTGTCCATTCAGCGTGTCTCCATTGCTTCCACCTCAGCCCAAGCCCCACCCTCTCTAACTCGGACCTCTGCAGTAGTGTCCTAGCTGAGCCCCTCCCTTGTTCTTGGTTCCCTGCCCTCCTTTTGCTGTTCATTCTCTTCCCAACAGCCAGAGAAGCCTTCTTCCAGCAAACTGGTTCTTATCAGACCTCTGACCATACCCTTCCATTGTCTCCTACAGCGTTCAGTATAAACTCCAAAATCCTTCTTGTGACTCACAGAGGTCTTAACCGGTCGGGCCCCTGCCCATCTTCCCAGCCCCACAGTCTGCCATTCTCCGTTCTCCATTCTCCCCTTTACTCTCCACATTGCCGCCTCATTGACCCTTTCTAGGTCCTTGAAACTTCTTTCCTACCGCAGGGCCTTGGCATGTTCTTTCCCCACTCTGCCTCCAAGCTCTCTCCCACCCTCCTCTTCCCTTGGTCAGCTCCTACTCATCTTCCAATCTCAGCTCAAATGTCATGTCCTCAAGGAGGCCTTTCTGAACACACCAGTATAAAATATGTCTCCTTCATCCTCTCATGGAACCTGTCTTTTGCCTGCATACGACTGATCACAATTATAATGAAATAATTATTTCAAACTCCATTTGTTTCGTTCATCAGGACAGGATCTGTGTTTGTGTTGCACTTATATCAGGTCCTTAGCACAGTGTCTGGCACACAGAAGACACTAAATGCATATTTGTTGGAAGGAAGGGAAGGAAAAGAGGGAAGGACTGAGGGAGGGAGAGAGGGGAGAAGAAGGGAGTGAGGGAAAGATGGAGGGCAGACCAGAAAGGGGAAGGTAGGAGGGCAAGGATTTAGCCCCTTCCGTGGGCTGTGTGCCCAGGCGAGCTCTGAAACTTCAGGGTAGTCACACAGCCTCATGCTGACTGCATGAGAAGTGGCTCCTCACACATGACTCTATGACTGTGGCCAGTTGTCCCCCCTTGTCCCGTCATAGCTCCCATCAGGCACCTGGGTAAGGGAGCAGCCCCAAGGGAGAGACACATTAGCATCAGACATTGAGAGGGGGAGGGGCAGGTTTGCCTGGCCCTGGAATTGGATGCATGCAGTCTCCCTGCAGGGCCAGCTCTCCTGTGAGCCTCACTTTCCTGTATGTAATAAAAATAACAGGATAATTAACATCGTACAGGATTGAGGAGATTGTCATTGTGCACTTAGTGAGGCACTAAGAGCAGTACTCAGTAAGTGAGAGCACAGAGGCGCTTCTCCACTAGTGTTAGGACCCCCTGTGAAGTGGAGAGGGCCCAGGGATGCAGAGAGGCTCACAAGCAGGGAGCCAGACACCTGCTCTTCCTAGTGGTGGGAGCATGGAGCAAGCCCCTTTGGGGTCTCAGTTTTGCCTTCTGTAAAATGGGGAGATCATACATCAAAAAATACCACCCAGAAACATGTGATATTTTTCACCTTAAAGGTGATCTAAGAGAAGAAGTGGTAGTTGGTTGTCCTGGGTGGAGGCAGCAGAAAGGATTTGGAAAACTGTCAACAATCTGCTCCCTACAAGAATTCGAGGGTGGCAAAGAGGACAGGGAGAGGGAGATTCTAAGTGCTGGTAGATACTGCAAAATAAGAGAAGCGATGGAAAAGGTGAGAGAGAGGAGAGATAGCAGAAGTCAAGGTGCAGGCCCACACTTCTACTTTGGAGGTGAGAAAGCAATCAAGCTGTGGGGACGGGCGAGGATTATGGGCGATCCCAGGATGACGGAGACCCCAGAGGTGAGGTCCCACCAGAGCAGGCTTGTTAGGGAGCACCTGCCCCAGGAGGCACAGGCTCACCAGGAAGGCAAGTGATGGTTCTCTGGGAGGCATGGGGAGAAGCAGTCATCGTGAGCTGTATTCCAAAGCCAGCTGGAAATGATGCCTCTCCTGCCAGCCCGGAGCGTCTGCAGAGCCGTAGAGAATGGCTGAGTCCTTGTCAGAGATTGTCAGATTGGGAGGTCACCTGGCCCCACGCCAGCTCCGCAGAGAGGAAAACGTTTGTCTGCTGGAGGTAATAGTGCCTTTCCCCCCTGCAGCACGGTTTCTCGCTGCCATCTGGGGGTTTCACAGAAAACACTGATATTCCCCCCTCTCCCCCCGGGATCCAAGAATGCCAGGACACGAGCTACCCATTAACCACTGCGGCCCCGTGGTGGCAGTGGCAGGGAGGAAGCATGAATGTGTGTGTGGTGGGGACTGCCTCTGTCTGTACCTCCATCGTCCCCCCCTCACCACCCCCACTGCAAAGGCAGCCCCTGAGAACTGATGGGGACACATGTGCCCCCATGAGCTGTTGCCTGTTGGCCTGTGAGTTGCTGGACTCACATTTTAAAGGCTTCTACATGGGCCAGATCCCCCTACCCGTGCACTCAGCTCAGCTATTAGTTTTAATTTTTAAAGAATCTTTGAAGGATGCTGATTCCCAGGCCTTGCCTCCAGATATTCTAGTCGGTAGATCTGGGGTAGGGTTCAGGGATCTACATTTAACAAGCCTCCTTCCGCGGGGTTTTCATAGGTGTGAGATGTAGAGACTGTCTGCCCCACGGCCCAGGTGTCTTCCCCTGAAGTCATCATCCCCGTGGCCGTGACTGATTTATGTAGTGCTCCCCATCGTGGCTGGTGTTTCCACCAGCTGCGTCTCTGTCCCAGTCCTTGACTTGCAGGCTATGGGCTCATTACTGAAGCTTTTAGCTGCAGCCCTGAGAGCGAGTGAGCTGGCTTCGTGTCACCTGAGTGAAGGGCTGGAAACTAGGCCATCGTGCTTCGCTGAGCAGATCCCACCCTCTCCCAGCTGCTCCACCGCCTCCTCTGTCCACTGTGCACAGTGCCTGGGCCTCTGGGCACCCACCCTCCTCCTCAGGGTTGAGGCCTGGACCAGAGTGCGGTACCAGAAGACGCATGCACAGAGGCTCTGGGAGGGACACTGTGAGGGGTGCACTGTGCCAGGACCTCAGAGGCCTGCAGGGAGAGGTCAGGGCCAGGTGAGGAGTAGGTAGATGGACCACAGGGACAAGTGGTCCTGGGGAGGCACCCAGATTCCAGACCAGGGGAGCCAGGGGCCATTCTGGGGTCTACCAGGGAGGCAGGCCCCAAAGGCAGGGTTGACCAAGCTGGGGTTCAGTGCCCTTCCCCTTGGCCTTGCAAGGCCCCCTTGTCCCCCACCTACTGCCACTTCACGCCGAGGCCCACCAGGTCCCGTCTTTGCTGTTTTCCTCCCCTCATTGCCTCTGTCTTGTCCTGTCTTTGTCTCCTCTTCCTCCTCCACCTCCACCTCTCCTGCCTCCCTCTCCCCCTCCTTCATTCCCCTCACCCCCTCTTTGTCTCCCCTTGTTTCTGTTTGTCTCTTGTTCTCTCTCCCCCTTGTTTGTCTGTCTCTCTCTCTCTCTCTTCATCTCCTTGACTCTCTTTGTGTGTCTCTCTCCCTCTGCCTCTCACTCCTTGTTCTCTCCATCTCTCTCACTGACTCTCTGTGTCCTCTGTGTCTCTGTCTCCTCCCTTCTATTCCTCCCTCCCTCTCCTGTCTGGTTCACCTCTTCCGGACAGCGGCATCCCTATATGGCTCAATCGTGCTGGATTTATAACACCTGACCAGGCGGGGCTACGGGGACATGCAGATGTGGGCCCCATGATGCTGATCTCAGAGCTCACGTTCCACTGGGAAGGGATCAGGAGGAGGCAACAAGAGCTGCCAAGAAATCAGGCTGAACCTGGAGGGCCTACTACCCAGTTGTCCGTCTCAAATGCTCAGACACTGACGTTGCCAATTCTCATGCTTGGGCCAAATTCTTGCCTCCTGCTCCCAGCCCCACCCTCTGACTCACTATCCAGCTGGACAAGCCTGAGAGAAGGCTGGGTTTGACCAAGCCAAGGACAGGCTCCCAGAGTGAGATGGCCATCCTCCTTGTCCTAGAGGGTGGGGGAAGGACAGCCCCTACCAGCCCTTCCCTCTGAGGAAGTCCTTGGTGCTCTCTTCAAGGTTAGAGGTGGCATTAAGAGGTGGGGGGGGGGGGGGACCCTGGGGGAGCAGGACTCCGACCTCCTTCTTCTCAGAAGAAACTGAGGCTCCAAATGGTGAGTCTGTGAACTAAAGTCACAAAAGATTCAGTGCTGGGCCCAGGCTCAGGGTGGCTGTGCTTCACACTGTCCCCTCCCACGTTAAGATGATATGTCATTTCCTCCCAGTGGCCACAGCTCCCCTGAGCGCTGGGGCTCCTTGGCTACAAAGGAAGGACCTGGGAGCCCATGGGAGGGCGGTGCAGGAGGGGGTCCCCTCACCAGAAACCCCAATGGGACCTGGAAGGGGAAGCAAGGGAGACATGCATGCTCCCAGCAGGTCTCCGAAGACTAGGAGAGTGAATTGCACGTCTTAAACTTTCATCTGCGTCTGAGACGCTCTGAGTTTGAGAAGAAAGGACCTGGGCTTTGGAAGTTCAGCCTCCTCCTAGCTCTGTGGCCTGGGCAACCTGCTGGCCTCTCTGGGCCTCAGGTTCTTAGCTGTGAAGTGGAGACAACAGTCAGCCATCTGCCTCACAGACCATTGTGTTAGATGAGAGGTCTGTGAAAGGGTCTCTTGGGTTATTAAAGGAAGCCCCTCGGGGTGAGTAAGGCCTGGGAGGTCCCAGGGAGCAAAGTGGCTCCCTCACCCCAGCAGGGTGGGGTCCTCCAGCCACTGGTGGCTGCACCTTTCTCAGCTCCAGTGCGAAGGGGGTGTGTGGGCCCAACCTTTCCTCATGTCCCTCCTCCCGCTGCCTCAGCTGCGTGGTGGATGAGATGGACTTCTCAGGCATGGAGCTGGACGAGGCCCTGCGCAAGTTCCAGGCGCACATCCGCGTGCAGGGGGAGGCCCAGAAGGTGGAGCGGCTGATAGAGGCCTTCAGGTAGGACCCCCTCTGCAGCCCCTCCCTCATACACTTCAGAACACACACCTAGGGAGGTGGGGTGGGAGAGGTGGGGTGGAGAAGGAGAGCTGCTGTGGGCCTGGGGGCTGGGAGAAGCCCTTCTGGTGAGGTGAGAGAGGTGGGCTAGTAGAAAGGAGGAAGGGAGAGAAAAGGGATAGAGCCCTCGAGCTCTCCAAGCTGGAACAGCACTGGGTTCTCAGGGGCCTGCGTGCATTTCACTCATCCCACAACAAGCAAATCTTTAATGAACATCAGTGCAAGGTTGGTGTGGTGGGATCCGTGGGTGTTTGACACCTGCCCTGTCCCCTCAGAAGGGAAGAGGACCAGGCTTCGGAGTGTGAGGGGCTGTGCGATCGGGGGCGAATGGGGGGGACGACAGGAAGGGAGCTGCCCGGACCTAAGGCCTGCAGAGAGCCTGATTCCTGCCCCCACAGTCCCCCTTGCTGGAACTGGGGAGGTTGGGGAGAGGCCTCAGGCCCCGCTCTGTGTCCCCCACCACAGCCAGCGCTACTGCATGTGCAACCCCGAGGTGGTGCAGCAATTCCACAACCCTGACACCATCTTCATCCTGGCCTTCGCCATCATCCTCCTCAACACTGACATGTACAGCCCCAACATTAAGCCTGACCGGAAGATGATGCTGGAGGATTTCATCCGAAACCTTCGAGGTGAGGAGGTGGGGGCAGCGGGGTGGATGAGGCCACTGCTCCCGCCTGTCCTGTTCAGTATTAATTCTGTGAGTCTGAGCCCAATTGTAGATTGTCACTCAGCAGCCAAGGGCACTGGACGCTGCTCTCTGGGCCTGGTCATGCATAGCAGGGAAAGTTGCCTGCATGCCAGGCACCTGGGGAGTTTCCAGGAGGCACTGCCACTGCCCTGTACCAAGCAGCAAGGGCCCGTGGGCAATGTCCCTTGCCCTGCATGGACTGTCCTCCATTGGTTGACCTCTAAGCCCCTGGCCCCAAAGCTACTGCCTAGGTGGCACCAGCCCTTCCCACTTCACAGCTTCTGAGGTCTCTTCAGTCTTGGGTCCATTTAAGTCAGCCCTGCAGATAAGGAATGGCATCTGCCAGCCAAGTCCTCTTCTAACTGATACGGTACCCCACCTGGCAGGGTGTGGTGGGCGCACAATTGATTTTTTCTTTTTTCAGCATTTTAAAAATAAAAGTTATGCACAAACATAATTTAATAAAGTCAAATAATTCTACAAGGCTTATTAAAAATATCGGTCCCTGCCCCTATAGCCACTCTCCTTCCTTAGGGGCAACCACTGTCATTTCTCCCTCTTTCTTGTGTTTCCTGTATGTCAGTGGTCGGCAAACTGTGGCTCGAGAGCCACATGCGGCTCTTTGGCCCCTTAAGTGTGGCCACAAAGTTTCAATCGCACTGTACGTGCGCGCCTGCACGTGGTATTTTGTGCAAGAGCCACACTCAAGGGGCCGCAGTTTGCCGACTACTGCTCTATATCATTAAATATAGAGCATGCTTCCTTCTGCTTCTTTTTTCTTATTCCTTTTTTTATTGGTAAAAAATGCATACTGTAAGGCTTATACCAGTAAATCTGAAATCTTGATGAATGTTTATATTCCTGTACAGCTATGTAATCACACCCAGATCTAAATATAGATCACTATCCTCACCTCGGAACATTCTCCCATGTTCTGTTCCATTCAATACCCCTGCCCTTGAGTAACAACTCCTCTGACCTCCCATCATCATTGCCAAGTTGTGCCAGTTCTGGAATTTCATATGAATGGGATTACACAGTACATATATTTTGGTATGCGGTTTCTTTCACACTCTGCTACTTATTCATTTTAAAAAATTTTAAGTGTTATCTATTAATTTCTGTCTTAGTGTGTTCAGGCTGCTAAAACAAACTACCACAGTCTGGGTGGATTATAAACAACAGACTTATTTCTCACAGTTCTGGAGACTGGAAGTCCAAGGTCAAGGCACAAGCAGACTCAGTGTCTGGTGAGAACCCACGCCCGGGTTCTAGCTGATGCTTCTCGCTGTGTCCTCGCAAGTAGAAGGAGCAAGGGAGTCTGTGGGGTCTCTCTCATAGGTGCACTGATACCGTTCATGAGAACTCCAACCTCGTGACTTAAGCACCTTCTGAAGGCCCTGCCCCTAATACCATTGGGCATTAGGATTTCAACATATGAATGTGACAGGTTCATAAACATTCAGACATACAGTGGAATAAAAGGAGTTAGCCCTCTTTCATTTACCTTCACTAACCCATTCCCACTAAAATTATGTCACAACCCATGCATCATTTGTAGCATCATATTTGCGATGTCATTGTTTATATTAAACACAACCCAAAGCTGAGCAAACACAATACAAAGCTGAGTCTTGAAGTATATAATGATTACAAAGCCTTTCAATTTCTATTTTCCTTGGAGTGAATACTTGTATTCTTTGTCCATTTGTTTAGCTCTTCATGTACCTGCCATTAATTCATCTCCAAACTCTTCACCTCAAGTGTCAAGTTCCTCTAAGCACATTGAGCCCCAGCAGATATTCCCTGAGTTTCATATTCTGGGAGCTGTGTCTCCTGGGTCCTCTAGTTCTGCTCTAGTCTGGACAGCTGCATGGCTGTCATTCTGATATCTCCTTTCACCGTCGTCTGGGGAATCCTCACCTTGCTCCTGTGTTAGATTTCTGTTGCCTAGATTTCATAGCTTCCTCTTTGAGAGAGAAAAGGTACACTTTTTTCCCCCAGTAAAAAGGTACACTGGAGGCAAACTTTTTGAGAACTTGTGTGTCTGAATACTAGTATATCTTTTTCTATCTTTACTCTTTTTTTTAAGTAAATGGGGTTAATTCCAACACTTTTTAAAAAATATATTTTCATTGATTTCATAGAGGAAGGGAGAGGGAGAGAGAAAGAGAAGCATCAATGCTGAGAGAGAATCATTGATTGGCTGCCTCTGCATGCCCCACGCTGGGGATTGAACCCACAACCCAGGTATGTGCCCTGGCTGGGAATCAAACCATGACCTCCTGGTTCATATGTTGACGCTCAACCACCGAGCCATGCCAGCCAGGCTTCTATCTTCACTCTTGATTGGCAATCTGCTTGGGAATAGAATTACAGATTGGAAACATTAACCGCTGAATTTTGAAGTGTTACTCTATTGTCTTTTTTTCTCTCTCATTAGATTATATTTTTATTAGGATTGTTTTAAAAATCAGAGATGACAGTGATGCTAGACTCCCAGTAAGTCCCCTTCCAATGAGGAACTATTAAGAACAGAAATTGACATTTCTAGAGAGCAGCTTTATTTTTATTCCATAAGAAACTTTTTAAATTTTTTTCTTTATTGATTAAGATATTATATATGTGTCCTTTAACTGACAATGCTAAAACTGCCATTCCAATTCCTGACCTTTTGCTATTATTTTTTCTTGCTCTTTCTGAAAAGTTATAGGTTCTTCTCTGTCCTTTCTGTTCTGAATTTTCATGAAGGTGTACCTTGTGGGGTTGTGTGTGTGTGTGTGTTTTAAATCTATTGTACTAGGCACTGTGTTGTTCCTTCAATCTAGAAACACAAGCCCTCCACTTGTGGGAAGTTTTCTAAATATTGTATTTGCTCATTTCGCCATCCATTTTCTCTGTCCTCTTTTTCTGGAACTCTTATTACTCAGATTTTCGATCTCATACTTTGATCTTTTAATGTTTATAGTTTTCTACCTGCCATCTTTGTCTTCTAGTTGACTTTCTTAAAGATATCCTTACCTTTCAAGTCTCTTACTAAGTTTTCCATTTCTGTTGTCATACTTTTCGTTTTAAATAACTCCTTTTTTGTTCTCTAAATGTTCTTCCTCCATAGCATTATATTCTTGTTTTGTAGATGCAATATCTTCTTATATAGCTCTGAAGACATTAATGATATATTTTTATTTGCTTGTTTCAGTTTCTTCCTGCTTGCCTCTACTTCTTCTGGCTTCCGTTTTCTGTTTTCCCATACTTCTTTCTCATATATAGTTGATGAATGGTTGTCCATTTATATTTAAGAGTGAGCCACTAAACAGCTGATTAAATACTCTGTGAGTGCGGGCGGGCTGCTGAATGGTGGACTAATCATAGGGTGCTTTAGTTGAGCTGTTTCACTGGGGGACCCCTACTGCAGTACCTTTTGATGTTTTCTCTTGTGCTGGTTGGAGAGAAATGTCCATTCTGTTGTCCAAAGGCTATGAGTCTGGCTGCCAACATTCTGAGATCTTTGTGGATGAATAGGGTTGAGGGGGTCTTTTAATATATAGACATCAGTTTTACCCCCCAGTTTTCAGCACAGACTCCCCCCTTTGGCTGGGCTTAAAGGAGGGATTTGCAACCCAGAGTTTCTGGTTCATCCCTTTCAGAGGATTAACCTTCAGTGTTCTGCTGTAGTGGAAGGGATAGGAAAATCTAAATGTTTTCTCGATTTTCAACCTATTTTCCCTTCAGCCCACCTTCACCTCCACTTTAACAGATCTTATTGCTGCCAACTCTAGAGCCCTTCTAGGTTCTGTGGTGCTTCCGTGTCCACTTTCTCAGGTTTGCCAATCCAGTCACTCCTTCATCTGCCTTCCAAACCCCATGGTACCATCGCCTCTTCCCCCTCCTCTTCGTCTTTGTGGGTGTAGCCTCTTTTAAAAATTCCTTTGTACCGAATATTCAGAAAGAGAAGATGTACAACCTTCTATCTTTACCGGGGGCCCCTGTATATTCTGTCTTGATCCCAGCTTTATCTTGCCGCAGCCACATTCCTTCAGGCCCCCAGGGGTGCTGCATGGCCCATTAGCCCACCTTTAAGGACCAGATACAGATATGGAAGAAACAGGGTCAATACAGAGAATTGCTCATAGAAGGTGAATGTCCTCTCAGTTGTAGGAAAACTCCTTTAAGGACACTTGCTGTAGTTGATTAATTTTCAATTTTTTCCTCTTATCAAAGAAGTGTGGTGTTATTAAAGACTTAGAAAAAGTAGAATTTTTTATTGCATCTGTTTCTGCTTCTAAAGAAATATGTTTTCATGTTGATGTATTTCCTGTTAGTAATTTTTGTTACCAGAGTTTTACCATTACTGTGAAGTAGGAGATGGGCACAGGGTCTCCTTACCTGCATTGCACACAGGGCTGCCTCTGTCATCCAATGTCTAACTACCTCCACCTTCCCAGTGAGGGAAGAATCTTGTCACCCATTCAACAACTAATCACTGAGCACCATTCTCCCTATTGGAAGGGAGGGGAAAGCCCAGGAGGGGGGAAATTCTAAAAGAAACAAGACAGAACATTAGCCTTCAAGATGCTCTCATGGTGGGATGGGGGAAGGGAGATGGACTGCAGAAGCAAGGCACATGGCAGGAACAGGGAGGCTGCATTTGGAAAGGAGGGAAAAGGCCTGGGAGGTGGGAGTGCAGGTTCTGGAACAGCAGAACCTTGCCTCATTGCCTCATTCCAGGTGAGGCTGGAAATGTGGGGCCGTATTATAGCAGTTCTGGTGTCTGGCTAAGGAGTTTGTCCTTAATGTAATGGATGTGGGTGCCAGCCATTGAAGGCTTTGGAGCAGGGACAGGGCAAAATCAAGGCTACCCTTTAAGGGCTTCAGTCTGGAAGGGGGCTTCCCCTCTCTGGCTCCAAGCCTCTGACGCCTCCTTCCTCTACCTCCCCGCCTCCTTTCTCTCACCCCAGGTGTGGATGATGGCGCAGACATCCCCAGGGAGCTGGTGGTGGGCATCTATGAAAGGATACAGCAGAAAGAGCTCAAGTCTAATGAGGACCATGTCACGTATGTTACCAAGGTGGAGAAGTCCATCGTGGGCATGAAGACAGTAAGTGCCTGCTGTAGAACAGTACCCCTGGGGGATCACTACCTCTCCTGTGTCTGCTAAGCTCCCCCATCACCTCTCCTCTCATTTCTTTCTTCCTGACATCTCCTCCCATTCTCCTCCTTGCCGTTCAAGAACACTCTTCCCTTACTCTTACTGAGTCCCTGCTGTATCTCATAGACTGCACCCTCTTTTTTTCCTTGCGTCATTGCCTTTTGCTCCAGCTGCTGCAGCAGGAGAGACAGAGGTGAGGTGAGGGGCAGACTGCCCAGTGCTCTAGGGTTGAAGCATCTGGATGGCTAAATAGGGAGGTTTAGGAAGGGGTGGATCCTGGGCATGCCTGGCTGGTCCTACTGGATAGACACAGAGAATAGGCTAACGTAGGTTTTGGACTGTGGTGTCTTGAACCACTGGGGCCACAGAAAATATGTTGTGGTTTTGCAGTGATTTTTATGTTGTGGTTTTGCAGTTCTCTGTAGTTTACTGCTCTACTTACATGCCAGCGGGGGCTCTTTATGCCATAAATACAAAGGGTATGGAGTCAGTTCTGAGGTCTGTCTCCAGTTCCTCCTCCCTCGATTGCTGGGGGGCACTTCAGGGACCTTGTGAGGCTGTGCACTGGGTCCGCTGCCCAGTCTGTGCAGGGAGAGCCCTATTCTGCCCAGAGCCTATATGCTGAGGTTTTAGCATCTATCTGATCTGCAGATGCCACTGGAGTGGATAGTTTTACACCCTGGAGCAGATTCAAGGTGTCCCTATAGTCCCCTCCCTCTTGCACACTTGCGTTTAGATGTGCAGTGGAAAGGGGTGGGGTGCTATCCTGCAGGCCCCAGCCTGGGACATGGGGTGCCCTGAAGAAGGTCTTGGAGGGCAACAGTTGACAGTGACTGGATATGAACAGTCTGACAGCGCTTATCAACTGTCTTTCCCATCCCTTCACGTCCTCATTTACTCCAGCATCCTGAGCCCTTCACCCCAGCCTTGCTCCCTAAGAAGCGTGATGAAGGGGAAAGGGCCCCAGTGAGGAGAGAGGGGGTTTAGGGTCAGCTCGGGCCTGTAATAGAGCCCTGGCCCTCCATCTGCTGGGAAATGGGTGCTGTGGGGCGGGGAGGGCCTTGAGCTCTGGGCGCCTCCTGCTGAGCACGTGCCTCTCTCCAGGTGCTGTCAGTGCCCCATCGCCGCCTGGTCTGCTGCAGCCGGCTCTTTGAGGTGACAGACGTGAACAAGCTGCAGAAGCAGGCCGCACATCAGAGGGAGGTGTTCCTCTTCAACGACCTGCTGGTGGTGAGTGACCGGCCCAGGGCTCCTCTGCCCTGCTCAGCCTCAGCAGGGACCCCTGAGAGGGGCCGAAGGGGCCTCCCAGATTTCACACCGAGTGTTGTGTGCTTAGTGGCTGATTTAACTTGTTCGTGGCGGTTTCACGTTGTGGGTGAGGGAGCTCAGGTGGATAGGATCATTTCTACCTTATAGGTTATGAAACCGAGGCAGCGAGAGGTCAAATCATTTCCCCGGTCACAGTGGAAATGAACTAGATTCTGATCCTCCTTCTCTCCATTTAGCGGAAGCCTGGGGCAGGCAGGGTAAGGGATGCACTTCATGTCCCACAGCCAGGGTGTACGGTGCTGGGCGGTGGACCTCAGCAGGGCATGTGCTGTTCCTGGGCCTGAAGGGCTGCTTGTGTGTGTGTGTGTGTGTGTGTGTGTGTGTGTGTGTGTGTGTGCGCGTGAGCGCACCTACATCTGTATGGTACTCATTCTTTGGTCTTTGAAGCCAGGTATCCATTCCACACATGTTCATTGAATGCCCACTGTGTGCCAGGCATTGTTGTAAATGCAAACAGTGTGAACAGGATTTGGTTTCTGTCTTTCCTTCAATCCCCACACCCCCTCTATCCATGAGTCGTGTTGGCACTAAATCTAAAACTATCCCAAATCTAATGCTCACACACAGGACCCATCTGCCACAGCCAGGAGTGGTCCTTCCAGAGTGCAGATCAGGCCTGTCTGCCATGCTTCAGACCTGACCCTGGCTTCTGGGGCAGGAGAAGGAAGTCCCACGGCCCTCCAGGACCTCTGACCTCTGACCTCATGCCCCCCTCCCTCTTCCCTGGCTGCTCTGGCACCTTGGGCCCCGCAGGCTGCCTCTCATGGGCCAGGCTCATTCCATCACCAGCCTTTGTGCTTGCTGCTCCGTCTGCTTGAAAACTCCTCCCCTCACCCCACCTCCCCCACGTGTGCCTCCCCAACCTGCGCCACCACCCTCCCTGCATTCAGTTTGAGCATCACCTTCTTACACAGGCCCTCCCTGCCCACCTAGCAAAGTAACCTGCCAGTCACTGTCTAATCTTTACTCTATTTCATTTTCTTCAAAACACTTCTCAGTTTCTGAAATTACATTATTTATCCATTTCTTCACCTTTTTTTGCTTATTGTGCATTATTGACCCAGCTGATCCTCTTCCACTGATAAGCATCCTGAGGGCAGGGCTCTCTGTCTCCCATTCTCCTGTGTCCCCGAGTCCAGCTCAATATTTTGTGTATTGAGCAACTGGCTTACAGAGTTTTCATTTTAGTAGAGAAGGGAGATAAAAAAATAATTAAGAAGACAAATAAAGAAGATAATACCAAATTGAGAGGAAGGTGCTATGAAGAAATAAAACAGGTGATAGGCTCAGGAGGACGGTGTTCAGGTGGACTTCTTTGTTTGTTTATTTTGTTGGTTTTTTAGGTAGGATGCTCAAGGAAGGCGTCTCTAAGGAGACACATTTCATTTCAGGTCTAACTAATGAGAGTAACCCAGATGTGCAGACAGCTGCAGGGAGAGCTGCAGAAAGGAAATAGCATGAGCAAAGGGCCTGCAGTGGATTGAGCCTGCCCTGTTCAAGCTACAGAAAGGGCGAGAGTGTGGCTTGAGCATAAGTCAGAGTAAGGCAGGGACCAGATCAGGTGGGGCAGGAAGTGTGGCTTGGCTTCTTCTAAGTGCAGAGGGGATAGCCACTGTAGGGTCTTATGTAGTAAACACACACACACACACACACACACACACACACACACACACATTTTGATGCAGGGAGTGTTTATATACGAGGATATGTGTGTGTGTGTGTACATGTAGATGTATATGTACGTGTGTGAATCTATCCTAAGTACATAAGTGTGTATGTGTGTGCATGTATCTTTGCGTGCGTCTGCTTGTGTGTTCAGGACTGTCCTGGGGGTCCATGCCTCTGGGCACACGCATGTGAACACCCGCCAGTGCATCTCTGTCTCCCTCTCCTGACAGATCCTCAAGCTTTGCCCAAAGAAGAAGAGCTCCTCCACATACACCTTCTGCAAGTCGGTGGGCCTGCTGGGCATGCAGTTCCACCTCTTTGAGAATGAGTGTGAGTCTCCGTGGGACCCAGAGATGCCGCAGAGGATGGTTGGGGGGGAGTTGAGGGCTGTAGGGACCGGCGGGGAGGGGGGGGGGGCAAGCATGCCAGCTGACTCCAGCCTCACCCGCTGCTGCTCACGGCCCATGGGCCTGGGTCTGGTTTCCAGATTACTCTCATGGCATCACCCTGGCGACCCCGCTCTCGGGCTCCGAGAAGAAGCAGGTGCTGCATTTCTGTGCCCTGGGCTCAGACGAGATGCAGAAGTTTGTGGAGGACCTGAAGGAGTCCATCGCGGAGGTGACGGAACTGGAGCAGATCCGGAGAGAGTGTAAGGACACAGTCAACCCAGGCTTTCTGAGGTGGTCGGCAGGGAGGGCGGGCCAGCTCCCAGTCGGCAAGGGACAGAGTGGGCTTGGAGACAGACATGCTCTGCCTCCTCCCCCCACTTTGGACTGAGTGTGGGGTGAGCCAAGGCCCCTCCTGCCGTCCTGAACCCTCCCCGGCCCACTGCACATCACGGCTCCGTGTGGCTGCACTGCTCTTCTGTTTCTTCTTGGGTAAAACAAGGTCGGCCAGAGCTGCGTGCGTGCGTGCGTGCATGTGTGTGTGTGTGTGTGTGTGTGTGCACCTGGCCAGGCGGTGGGGCGGCAGATGCGCCCCTTGGAAGTGAGAACTCCCTGTTTGGACGGGACACTGAGCGAGCTGGCCAAGGCAGCCTGCAAACCAAAGAGGTCCGGGACCCAGCTTCTCTCCCATCAAATTCCCTGTTCAACCTCTTCCCCTGGATCCAGTCCGGGTTCACACACTACATCTGGTTGTTTCATTTCTTTCGTCTGTTTTCATCTCAAATAGTCGTCCCACCTAGTTTTTCATGGCGTGCTTTAGAAGAGCCAGGCTGGTTCTCCGACTGCCCCTCACTTGGTCTTTCCGTCTCTCTAAGGAAAACCTTGGTTCTTGACTGTTCCAGTTCAGGCGATTAGAACACATGGGACTCTGCTTTACTGGTTGCTTTTTTACTTGTGTCCATTTGCAAGCTTTTACTGTTGAAGCACTGCTGTGGCTTCAGGCAGCCTTTCAGACAAGAATGGATTCAGAAAGTAAAACAGAAAATAAAACTAAACTTCAGGTCTGCCTTATTCAGCCACTTAGTTGAAAAGTATTTCTAAAATCATAAAAATCTACCCTGGCTTGGTAGCTCAGTTGGGTGGAACACCGTCCCATACACCAAAAGGTTGCAGGTTTGATTCCCAGTCAGGGCACATTCCTAGGTTGTGAGTTCAATCACTAGTAAGGGAGGCAACCAATCAATGTTTCTCCTCTCTCTCTCTCTCTCTCTCTCTCTCTCTCTCTCTCTCTCTCTCTCTCATTCAATAAACATATCCTCTAGTGAGGATTAAAATAAAATCATAAAAATCTACACAACAGGAGAGGCAGTGGGAGTTTTTGAGCCAGTGCTGTATTACATAGTATTGCTTTTTAATCAGCGTTTGGGATCACCTACTATGTGCCAGGCAGTTTCTTATGTTCCACTAATCCTCACACGGATGCTGCACAGTGGGTGCATTGTCCCCATTTGCCTGATAAGACAGAGACATTAAGGGGATATGTCCAAAGTCATGCATATTAAAAGCAGAGGAGCTGGAATTTGCAATTGTCCGATTTTGAGGTACTTTCCACTCTGGGAGGGAAAGCAGAGGCTTTGTTGACAGTTTCCTAAGAACACAACCATAACTAAATCAAGTTAAAACAAGAAAACCGCACGAGACCAGACTATATAACTGGAGTCACTGGGTGGAGGGAGGTGTGTAAATTCCCTTTTGGCGCTCCGTTGCAATGCTGGAGCTCAGTGCAACCAACAGACTCTTTAAAGAGGGCTGGGCTGCATGCTCAGAGATGCTACTTCGGCCATTGATCTTGAACATTCTCGAGGACACACTCTGAAATGGCTTCACTTCTCTCATCATCAAAATGTCACAGGTGGCTCCACACAGCCCCGAGGAGCCACAGTGGGCCTATGGGCACCAGCTTTGCTGGGAGAGGCACCTTTTCCCATCTGCCTGCGAGCAGCCCATCGTGTATCTCCCCAGAGTACAAAGGCGTAGACATCGCCAGAATCTGTATGCCAGGAGCGGAATATCCTCTCCTGCTGTCTGGAGGGAAGGGACTTAAGGAGAGACATCTAGCTCTGATTCTTCACACGAGGAGAAAGGAAAGGCGAGTTGAGGGAAGATGCAGTGCTGGGCAGGGAGGCAGGGAGTCAAGGAGAAAGGAGGAAATGAAAATCAGCCACAGCTACTGCTTACTGAGCACCAATTTCCCCAAAGCTGAGAAAGCCCCTCTGCGGGGAGAGGAACGAAGCTCAGTTCAGTAACAGTATTTCGTATTGATTGATGCTGTGATTCAGGCAATCAGGACAAATGGTTTTGGTTCGGGGCTTGCAGTCTGTGTCCCTGGATTATAGACAACCAGAGAGGCAGGAAATGGGACCCAGGAGAATAGCTTTAATAAAAGAAACTTGAGTTATGTCTCCTGGAAGAGAGAAGCTGGAGTGATTTAATAATGACTGTCAAATCTCCAAGGATGGTAACTGGCAGTTCTCTAGCAGCACCCAGAGAACAAGGAGGAACAGGTTTACAGTCTAGAGAGAAAAATTGAAATTGAATACCAAGACTCAGTTGAGTACCAAGACAGATGCCCTGGCCATGCGGGCTGTGCAGCACTGACAGACCCCCTCCTCCCCGGGCACGTGGGTCTCTCCTGGGGAGACTCAGAAAACTGTGAAAGCACAGCAGGCTGGGGGCTCAGAGCCCTGGGGCGCATGGCGGGCGGGCTAGACGTCACCAAAGTCTGCTGTGCCAAGTGATCTTACACATTGTAATGAAAGATGTTTATTGAGCACTTGCCACCGCCGGGTCTTGTTCTAAGTGCCTTAATATATTTCCTCCTGTAAATCCCCTTAATGATGCTTTGAACTGGGCACTGCTATCCCTCAGGTGAAGCATGGAGGAGTTCAGTAACTTGCCTGAAGTGATACAGAATGTATCAGAACCAGGATTCAAACCCACACAGCCCACCTTCCTCTTCTTAACCTCTTCTACAGTCAAGCAGATATTTCATCCCCATATACAGATGAAGAAGCTGAGGCTCCAGAGGGTAGTAATTGCCATGAAGTGGGGTGCCAGACCCTGAGGCCCACCTTTTGTAGCATGTGTCAAGGATTCGTTCTCATCCTGCTCTCTCGGCTTCTTCGTTTTTTTCCTTGTGGTTGAGGTTAGGGTTTCTCTCTGTTCATGAGCCTCTCCATTCCCTAGGGGAGCTGGAGAAGCAGCAGGGAGCAAAGACACGCTCCTTCAAGTCTGGAGGAGCCCAGGTGGACCCGCAGTTGAAGCAGGGATCGCCTACAGGTGAGCCTCGGCCCTGCTCTGGAGTTTCAGACCCCAGGCCTGGGTGGCTGGGCCAGGGAGGGCATGGAGGCCACTTACCGCCCCTGGGCATGGGATCCTGGGGATTGGGGACGAGGGAAGTGCTGGTTTCCATGGCCATTTCTCCCTGCTGAGGAGCTCCAGGCTTCCTCTCATGGGGCCTTCACAGTGGGAGTGAGGAGGAAGGAGAGAGACTGCCCCAGGGCCCGGCGTCCACCTGCTGCCCACCATGGGGAATCAGGCCCAAGCCCTGATAACCTTGGCCCTAGTGAGGACACCTTCTGCCCTCACACACCCAGGCTCTCGGAAGACTGCTGGTTCATGGGGTGTTGAATTATTCACTCCACACAAATGAAGCCAGCTCTTGGCTTTATACCCCCATTGGCCATGCTCCTAGGCCTGCTTCCTTCCTCCCACTGACACCTCTACCTACCTACACCTTGCTCTCCCCTCACTCCCACCTTCAGGGAAGACTTACTCCACCTTCACAGTCCCAAATGAAAAAGAATTAGGAGAGGTGGCATGAGAATTAAACCCCATCACATCAAACCCCCAGCAAACTACCCAGAACTATGCGCTCATTAATTCATTCAGGCACCTATTCTTATGTGTAACAAACATTTACGAGTGCCTGCAGCATGTCCCGCGTTGAGCACTGGGAAGCCAGGGTCCTAGCAAGACGTCGGCTTGAGCCTAGAAACTCCATGCTGGTCCACACCCCTCAGTGACGGCCAGGATGCCATGCTGCTGCAACATACGTGCTCACAGGGCGAGTCACACCAGCTGGGAGATGTGACTCATTTTCTAGGCAGGACTGAGAGCTCTTTGAGCTGCATGGAGATGCTCACTGTGATGTCACCTTCTGTACTGGAGTTTGACCTGCCATCATGCATTCATGATTCTCCCCCACCTCTCGCCCCCGCCTGCTTTTCAGCCAGCCCCTTTCTTTCTGTCAGGTCACAGCTGCTTGTTTCTGCAGCTGTTTATCCAGAGCTGAATCGCAGCTGTGATGACTCCCCGACAGCCCACTGCACGCTCTGCAGCCCAGCTGCCTCTTTGAAGCTGCAGCCCTGGTCAGACCAGCCCTGTCCCCCAGGCCCTGTCCCCCAGGCCCTGTCCCCCCAGGCCCTGTCCCCCAGGCCCTGTCCCTCCAGGCCCTGTCCCCCAGGCCCTATCCTCCAGGCCCTGTCCCCCTGGCCCTGTCCATCAGGGGCCTCCACATGGAGTGCTTCTTGATCCCAAACACTGGCCCAGCTCCCTTTTGTGCTACAGAAGGCAGGGGGATGAGTGCAGCGTGGGAGCTGACAACCCCCAGGGGTGTGAGAAATAAGAGGGGTTCTGGCAGAGGAGCCCTGGAATGCCTGCTGGGTGGGATGGGGAGGGCAGGAAGATGACCGAGCCAGAAAAAGTCATCAAGTTGTCCCTGGGGGTTCACAGGGTCTCTGGTGCTGCACCAGGCCAGTCAGTCCACCGTTGTAGCAATTACAGAGCCATCACGGGCTCTCCCGTGCCAGGCCCTGTGGTGAGTGCTTGGAAGCCTCACTTCACTGAATCCCCACCAGTGGGCCAAGCAGCGGGGATGGGAACAGAGAAGGAACTTGGCCCCTCCTCACACAAAGGAGCCTGTGTTTGAAGGAGGCCGATGAACGTGGTGCCCACAAATGCCCAGTAGAGCCTCCTTGTGTTTCTGGGAGCCAAGAACCAATGCCAGCTCATAACCAGCCTGCACAGTCCATGTCGGGAAGGCTCCACAATGGCCAGGTTAGACGGAATCTCAGAGGTCTTCTGGTCTGTGGAGGCTCAGAGAGGCGTGACATCTTGCCCAGGTCACACAGCTGGGCTCCCCTGCCAGTCCACTGCCCTGGCTGCATCTCAGTCAGGGCTGGCATGGCACCCAGAGTCTCACCAGCCACGCCCTCTCGTTGTAGGCATGCTCAGTTTGAGGGGTCGGATGGGGTAGGGGTTTGTATCGGGAGGGTGGAGAATGAGCCCTGTGCTCTTTGCATTCAAAGCCAAAAGGGAAGCTGCGCTGGGCGAGAGGCCTTCGGAGAGCACGGTGGAGGTGAGTGGAGGCCTGGTTGCCCCGGTGAGTGGTTCTGTGCCCCCGCTTGTCCTTCTCACTGTCTCTGTTGTTTCTCTTCTCAGGTATTAATCAATGCCTCCCCAGCCCGACTCACCATTTTACCAATTTCAAGAGATACAATTAAAAGTTACTGCTAGCATGGGTAATGCCACTGTTCAGCGCCTAGTTAAGCTGCAGCACTTCCTCCCACCCCCAGCCTGGCCAGCTGATTGCCCTCCCAGTCCCAGCTCCCTGACTAACACCTTACAGATGAAGCCCTCTCACACACCCCCAAGCCCACACCACCAGCACACTGCTCACCGATCCCCTAACACCTGCTGTATCAGAGAACCCAATATTCTTATCCGCCCCCCCCCCCCCGCACCATGCCCCTTGGACCCTGCCCACCAGTGCCTCTTGGAGAAGCTGGAGGACAGAGCTTCTCCCTGGAACAGCTGGTCCATCTGGAAAGTGGGCCACAGGGTAGGGTGTGTGCAGGAGAAAGTGAAGCAGAATAGATTGGGGTTGTCTTAGGGGTTTTGAGGGGAGAGCTGATCTCTCTGAAGACTGTCCATGTGAGAGGGAAGCCCATCCTCAAGCCACATGGGAAGGACTGGGGAGTAGCCGCAGCAGCTACTCCTTCCCAGGCACTAAGAGCGTCCCCTGCTTGCCCTGCGAGCCTTGCTGGGCCCCTGTCCTCCTGCACTGGCTCCCCTCAAACCCCAATGAGCCTCCTCACTCCTGTTCTGCCAAGCCTCCAGGGACCACTAGCTGCTCACACAGATGCCTCCTTTCCCACCGCCCCCCGACCCAAGCTGGAGGAGCCCCCATGTAGAGATCTGGGGGAGGAGCCCTGCCACCTATCAGCCTGACTAAGCTCAGGGAAGCCCCAGGATACCCAGGGGAGCCCAGTTTCTTCTCGCTCCCCACGGCCCCCATCTCCCACACACCTGTGTCTGGAGGAGGCACCTTTACACCGAGGAGCTTCCTGCCCCAGCAGCTGACAAGCCCCCAGGGTGGGTATTCCATCCCCTGCCCCCTCCGCTCCCCATCTTCCTGCAGCTGCCCATTCTCTAGCCTTGCAGATAAACACACCAAGTTACCAGCCCTCAGGTTTGTTCTGCCAGCCCTGCCCGCACCTTAGCCAGACCTGCACAGGGAGGACAAGCACTCTGATGGCCCGTTCTCCCCTCCAACCTTCCCCAGAGGGCCATGTGGCTATCTGCAAGGCTGCCACCCCAGCTAGCCCCAGGGCCCTGCCAGCCTCTGTTCCCGCACAGAGGGCAGCCTCGCTGCCCCACCCTCTCAGCTGGACCCTGAGCTCCCTTGTCCTCTGCCCTCTCTCTGGCATTTCCTCATTGCCTGGCCAAGCCGCTCTGGCAGGCGCTTCTCCATCTTCGAGCTGCTACTCATGTTCCATCCTCAATCTCTCTCTCTCTCTCTCTCTCTCTCTCTCTCTCTCTCTCTCTCTCTCTCCTTTCTTTCTTCAGCAAGGGGTCAGAATGAGAAAATGTTTTGCTGTCACTTCCTGCTTTTCACTTACTATTAAAGATAAGGGATCAGGCTGGGGTGGGGAGGAGGGAGGTGAGACAGTGGAGGTGGGATCAGAAAGGGGAGGTGAAGAGGAGGGGCAGGATGAGGTCCAGAGCTGTGGGCTACATGGAGGCAGCTGGGGAGGGGGAGGAAGAGGGCTCGGCGAGTGTGGACTGGGCAGCTAGGCATTTGCCTGGGGAGGGGCAGCCATAGAGTCTTGGGGGGGGGGGGGGCGGCGGGGAGCAGAAGGGACACAAGCCTGCCCCTGCTGTCTTGGCCACTTTTCTCCTGGGAAATAGGTCAGAATATGAGCAGATAGGGAAGGGAGCTTTTCCCCGCCACCCCCCACCCTGCCCCCAGCAGCAGTGGACAGAGGCCTTCTGCCCAAGTGAGGGCCACAGAGGGCTCCCCAGGAGGGAAGTGGCCCAGCCACGCTCTCTGCTCACCCTGTGTCTTGTCAGGGCAGTGCAGGGCTCAGGGGCCCCTTCATTAGTTTGGGGGAATCTCAGGCCTGGGAAGTGCTGCCAAGGCTGGAGGTTGAGAAGGAAGAGTAAAGACTGCAACATGCTGAGCATGGCTGGGGGCTTGTGACTATGGAAGGGCAGACAGATGGGGCTCAGGAGCTGTGGAGAGGGACACAGGCCACTGGGAGAGGGGACCCAGGAATGGGGGGGAATCCCTGAAATTGCACCTTTTGCCAATAAATGGGGTTAAGATCTGCTGGTTAGGGCCCCAAGATCGTTTTGGGCTGGGCCTTCCTGGTCTAGGCCTGGGGATAAGGTCCCCTCCCTGTAGCCTGGATCCTCCTGGGCTTGGCACAGCCTGTCCTGGGTGGTGGTTCCAAGGACAGTAGAAAACATCCTCAGAGAGAAGGGTCTCGGCCACCCCCAAAGGGCTCAGGTGTCGGGAGGGGGTTGTAGTATCTAGAGACTTGTGGGGTGGGGAGTTAAAGCCCTCTCCTTCCAGAATCCTCTAGCCGCTCTGCCACCCATTTCCTCCCCTCCCCCTGCTAGCAAGAAGAGGCCAGGCTGGTTCATGGTACCTCCATGGCCTGAGGGAGGGGGCCACCTCCTCATGCCCCACCTAGGAGATAAGGGTTAGAATCCTTTCTGGGCAACCCCCTCCTGCAGCAGCAGAAGTTTAACCAGGATCCAGGTTGGGCCATAAAGGCAGCTGGGGATCAGACTCTGGCCTTTGCTCTCTGGGCTGCTCTTGGATGTGTGATCATGGCCTTGGGAGTCTGGGGGCGGGGAGAGTGGGGGGAGCTCCAGATCACCCCTCAGGGGTCCCTGGCAGTCTGGGGTTTGGGTGCCTTCGTGATGTTTACAGTGACAATGAGGCTTCCCCTCTAACAAAGCCAGAGGAAGGAGAGGGCTGGAAAGTCTCAGGTGTTTAACCCTGTCCCTGAGTCCTCCCTTGGCTCTCAACATACCCTGGGAGGCAGGAAGGGAGCAAAGACCCTTACCCCAGTTTTTCAAGCTCAGAAGCTGGTAGAGAGGAAGGTGGGGAGAAGTTTACCCATAGCCCAAAGCCACCCAGCAGGGCCATGAAGTCAGACTGCAGAGCTATGCAGAACCTCAGTGAGTCTATGGTCCAAACGCCCATCTCACAGATGAGGAGACTGAGGCTGAGAGAACTGAGGCTGCTCATGGTCAGTGGCAGAACACGCCAGTCTCTTGACTGCAGGGATGGAACCTCTGTTGGCTGCCAGTTTTCGTCTGGTGGAGAGATGGGGAGTGGGTCAAGGTGAGGGCTGAGAGCCCCTAATGGGCACAGGAGCCAGGGAAGGGGAGAAGGGAGGCTCAGGGTAGCCAGTCCTAGTAGCTGGGAATTAGTCTTGTAACATTTCATGCTTCTCTGGCTGTTTCTAAACTAGGTGTCAATTCACAACAGGCTTCAAACGTCCCAACACAACTCGGGGCTGGGGGCCCAGAGGAGAGCTGCGGTGCCACCACCAGACCCGCAGCCTAGCCCCCTGAGAGAGCAGCCCCCGCCGTTGCCGCCATCACCACCCACGCCCCCAGGGACCCTGGTGCAGTGTCAGCAAATTGTCAAGGTCATTGTCCTGGACAAGCCCTGCTTGGCCCGCATGGAGCCCCTGCTAAGCCAGGCTCTCTCCAGCTACGCCTCTTCCTCCTCTGACTCCTGCGGCTCCACACCCCTGGGCGGCCCGGGCTCCCCGGTCAAGGTCATCCACCAGCCCCCGCTGCCCCCACCCCCGCCCCCCTACAACCACCCTCACCAGTACTGCCCGCCAGGCTCCTTGCTGCACCGGCGCCGCTACTCCAGCGGCTCCAGGAGCCTGGTGTAGACTGTTTCCCACACTGCTGCCCCAGGGGGCTGCCACCAGGGTCCCTGGGCTGTACCCAGGAGCCCCTGCCGCCCCTTCACTGCTCCCCACACCCTGGCACGCTGTGTTCCTGGTCACCATCACCATTGTTTTGGAAAAGAACCTCCATCCCTGGCACCTGGGTTTGCCTCACCCGACATGCTTCCCATACTCAGCTGAACACCCCCCGCCCCCTTCAATCTGGAGACTCCACCACACTCCCCTGGGCCCTGCACAGCTGCATGGCCAGGCCTCCTCCTCCTGCCACCACTCACCACGTGGACCATGGACTTCTGAGGACAAGAACTGAGGGCTTACCCAGCTTCTGCGTCCTGAGTCTGAGTCTGCTGGGCCCTGGGCCGCAGGCTGGGAGGTGGTACAAGGGGAGCCAGCACCCAGCACCGGACAGAAAGTGGCCTGGCTCCCTGCTCAGCTCTAGGTGCTGCACTGGGTGGAGGAGAGTTGGCCCTGGATCCCTGAAGGGACCAGGGAAGTGGGAATGTGAGGAGGGGTCTTTTTCTGCTGCACCTGCCCCGCCCCCCACAACTGGCATATGCAGGAGGTCGGTCTGTCCCCAAGGATGTTGGTTGTCCTGACCACGTCCTCCCCCTCCTCCCAGGGCCTGCCCTTCCTCTGGAGCTGGGCACTGCCTGCCCAGGGCTGCGCAGACTCCAGGAAAGCTTTGAGAGAGGGAGGGAGGAGGGGGACTCGTCTCAGCTCTCTCTAGGTCAATTCAACCAGCTGTGGAACCGTGAGGTCATTCATCTAAAATGAATCTTTTTAGGGTTTTAGTTCCCCAGCCCCAAATAACACCCGGCCAACGCGAATGTGCACCGGGGCCTGGAATAAGGGGGGTCTGGGAATAGAGTGGTTAGTTCTCTCCCCTGCAGCAGTGGAGACAGGGAGGAGGGGCAGTGGTTTGCCCAGGGGCAAATGCAGCCAGAGGAGGTGGTTGGAGAGGCCTGGCTCCCTCTTGCATGGTTTCCATGGCCTCTGCGAGGGATTGGATGCAGAAGTGGGTGGGAGAAGCAGGTGCTCCACAGGCACGTGCCTTCCCCCTGCTGCCATCCCAAACGTGCCCCTCAGCCTTTAAACCTCCCCCCTCTTCACCTCCCCCAAGAAGTGGCCCGCCTCCTGCAGGGGGCACTAAGAGTCCCTGCCCCCTCAAAATTGCAAAGAGCGCAAAGTGGGTCTCACCGACCCCCTCGGGGCCAAATAGCATTGGGGAGTCAACCTTTAGGTGACCCCACAGAGCCTGGGCAGCCCCCTCAAAGACCTCAGAAGATACCCGGGCCCCAGTCACGCCCTTTCAGGAAGTGTCTGTCCAAGCCGGGCCAGGTTCCAGTCCTGGGCCGTCATTCCATTGCTGTCCCTCATCGAGCTCCCCTCCTACTTGGAGCCCATTATCAAAGTGTCCCCAGAGGTGGAAGTGAACGTGGGCCAGGTCTAAAGTGAATGTGCTTCTCCCTGACCGTTCCTCACACCCCAAATGCAGTGCCCTGGGCCAGCTAGGAGACCCTGATCCTTGTCCCGCGCTCTCGGAGCTTCCAGATGACCTGGTTTCATTTGTATGTGTGGTCACCAAACGTCATTATGGCGTCACCCAGCGAGTTTATTTCTAGCCCTGTCTTTGTCATCCTGGGATCTGTAACTTGTGACCAATTTGCTGTCTCCTCCGTGTGGCTCCCCAGCCGAGCTGCTTTTGTCCTTATTGTCTTGGTCCCTCTCTTGTGTCTCTACTGTAACAAGGACATGCCAATAAGAGGCTTTCAGAACAGAGTGGCTGACAGATGGGGCCACACACTACGACATTTCTGATGCACGTGGCCAGGGCAGGGATCGCCCGTAAAGAGTGCGAGCGGGAAGAGGAGCAGAGTTGGGGTGGGAGTGAATGGATCTTGAATAAGGGGGCCTGGAAATAGAGTGGAAGTTAATGGGTGGGCAGCAGGGAGTATGAGTTGTGAAGGAAGGGGTTGGGGGTTGAGGTGGCCAAACCTAATTATGGGATGGGGACCATGAATGCCAGGGGCTGGTGAGGAAGCAGCAGCCCCTACCGTCAGGCCCTTGTCACCACCCACATAGTGCTTCTCATTGAAAAGTGCTCTCCTCCCTGTCGGTGGGCATGGCAGCCCTGGCCCCTTCCTCCCACCTCTGCTGCAGCCCTGACTCTGCAGACAGACTCTCAGAGGTCTTGGGGATGGAGCACACAGAGCCTTCCCTGAGGACCCGGATGCTCGGGGACTGGGACTTGCTCCCGGGCACTGCGGTGGCTTCCCTGGGACCCTGGCAGCACTGGGAGTCCCGGCCCCGGAAGCAGACCAGCCTGGGCTCTGCAGCACGAGAGCCAAGCTTGAGCTGTGAGGCTTTTCACCCCAGTGGCCTGAGCAAGGGGCAGTTGGCCCTCCTCCTGTTAGGGAAGCAACAGTTCCCACTGTCTGCATCCTCCTGCCCCTGTCCTGCCAGCAGGCTAAGGCTGGGACCCCCTCATCCCCGCCCCCAGAGCCTAGCCCCAGAAACCTTGGACAAGCCTCCTGCCCTTGCAGAGGCCCCGCTGGAGATGCTATGGGGCCCCTACTCTCCCAAGGCTGAAGGCACTGGAGTGCTGATCGCCCCGGACACAGCCCCAACATGGCCCCACTCTATCAACTCTCTAGGCCTTACTTTGGGGGACCCGAGCCCCTTTCTCAATTTTATCCATTTGGCTCCAGCTCCAGAATCAGGAGTGGAGATGAAATGAGCTTTCCCACCCACTCTTGGGCAAGTCCCACCTCCAAACCTGGAGCGAGACCTGCCCGGGCAGCTTGACCTGGAAGCTTGCCTGCTTGTGTCCAAAGGCACACATGTCTATCAGCCCCGGGCCCTTGACCCCACCCCACCCCACCTGTTCCCCTGTAGCCTGCCAGAACGTCTCTTGTACCCGATAGCTGCTCTGATAACCATCTGTCTGTCTGCCCTGTGTTCTGCTGTGCGTACCTTCCTGCTGCACCTCCTCCCCGCAGGCACCCCTCACCCTGTTGGAGAGAAACCTCTCTAGGGAAGGCAGGGTGGCTGCACCCAGCGACTACTCCAAATGGCAAATATTTTGTAACAAAATAGCCCAGAGGTATTTTATCTGTTCAATTCATAGAGTTTTAGAGATTATATTGAAATATGTCACTTGAGCAAACTGTCGGTTGTGTTTCTTTTGTTCTGCAAGAGGGAGGGTCCACCTTCACTCAGAGGGTCTAATTGGGGAGGGTCCGAACAAGAGGACAGTCTGATGTTCTTAGCCCTGGGGTCTTTCAGGAGCAGCTGGGCTGCCAGGCTGTTCTTCTCCGGCCATAGTGGCATCACCCCTTTACCCCAGAGTGACACCCTTCTGAGCCATGCTGTGACAAGACTAGGAAGTCCTGTCTTAAGTTAATGAGGCTTGGGTATGTGGGAGAGGGTCATCTGATGGGTGGGCACAGGGTTGGAGCTAGGGGTGCAAGGCCCACTAACACACACACACACACACACACGCATACACACTCAGCTTTGAGCCAATTGAGAGAGCAGGTTATAACAGGGACGAGGGGCACTTTTGGAGAAGGGATCACCATGACAGCCAGGGTGCACCCAGCAGAGTGAGAGATGGGGGCCAGGAACCCATGGGCCCTGCTTGGCTTTCTGTCACGGGAGTGAGGGACTGTTGGGAGGTCAGGGTCCCACTGACCATGCTGGGTCATCACCCTCAGGTGACTCACCAGACATCAGCTCCAAACACCTGACCTAATCACAGCATGTGCTGTGACAATCCCTAGGGTGTGCTATTTGCCATGGAGGGGGCGGCAGACCCAGGTAAAAGGATTAGGGGAATATTGTTGGGAAAAGTGCACAGAGCCATAGAGTGCAATGGAGCAAACGTTTACCGAGCCCCACGGTGTGCCAGGTGCCCTGTTGGTTGCCGGAAGGGAGGCCAAGGTTCTGCAGAGGATACAACAGCAGCCAAGTGGCTGTAAACCAGGAGAGCAGGCTGACACAAGGTCGCTTGGCGAGCGTTCACAGCTGCGTCAATGCTCAGATCAGGCTCCACAACAGGCTTGACACAGAGTGACCTCTTCTGGCTGCAAGAGAGGAGAACCTTCCAGCCAAGCTGAGGCCAGAGGCGCCGCCTGTGGGAGAAATGCAACTGGCCACAATGGCCGGTCCAGGGACACCTGTGAAGACACACCCAGCTCCCCCGGCGACTGGAACTCTGAATACCCCGAAATCTCGGTAGCCCGCAGGCTGGGTCCCCTTATTCCTTTAAAATGAAAGGAAACCTGACCTCACCCTCCTTCCAGAAAAAGGGAAATTCCAGGAGAAGCCTGGGGCCAGCTCTGACCTGTCACATCCTGGGAACTCGCTGACCCGGGAAGCTGAGGACTAGCCCCTTGAGAGCACCCCTGAGGGGACCAGCTCAGCTCAGGCCTGGGAGAGGACTAAGGCTCAAAGGACCTGCTGCCGTCTGTGCGGGTGTGGAGTGCTGCCACCATCCTCCCAGCCGCTGCCCCTGACAGAGCCCCCGGGGGTCCCAGGCCCTCTGTTCCATCTGCCATAGGAATGGAGAGCTATGGCTCCTTATAGTGACCATTTAGACGGGGAAACTCAGCCGTTGACTTGGAATGTTTCCAATAAGGTGCTTGGAATTCCCCGGTTTCTGGCTGAGAGCGATGGGCCAGAACATGAGGCCAGCGCTAGAAATCAGGGAAATGCGACCAGCTCATGACCACCTGGCGTGTGCCAGGTGCTGGTCTAGGTGTCGGAATAGGCCCAGAATGTGACAAGCCATGCCTCTGCCCTCGAGTTCCCACTGGGTAGTGCCCTCAGAAATCAACAAGCAGACCGGCTACTTTCACACAGATGGTGGTGCAGCAGGGGTGCTGCAGGGGGGCGGCTGAAGAGCCTTCAAGGAAGGCCTCTCCGAGGGGGCAGATTCAACAAGGCGAAGGTCAGGTTCCAGGGCAGGTGAGCCGTTCAGACACCACCTCTAGGGGAGAGTCTGTAAGGACTATTTCCTGGTGTATGAATTTACTTACGTGAAAATTCTTATTACACCTTACTGAGGTGCATTTTACAGTCTCCTTTATTAAGGAAATAATGAAACTGGGCTTCTGGGAAACCCAGGGCAAAGGGTCACCACAATCAGCGGGGAAGGAGGGGCTGACAGCAGCAGGCTGGCCACTGGAGAAGGCGGTGGGTGAGGTAACATCAAAGGCTGGGCTGCAGCAGGAGGAGCCAGACCCCCAACTAGAATCTGAAGGACAAACCCCAGCCATCAGGACAAGCTGTCAGGGCAGCTCCTGATCAGGAGGCACCACCAAGGCCTGGTGGGCCTGCAGGAAGCCCTCTGTTCATCTCTTCCCATCACCCCCATCCAAGCAGGTCAGGTTTGCTATCCTAGATAATAAAGAGCTAATATGCAAATGGTCATCACACCCTCTTGCCGTCATGCCGTGATGCCCTCATGCCGTCATAATCCATCACCAGGAGGCTGCATGCACAGCGGGTGCACGTGGGTGGGCGGGGACCTGATGCTGCATGCGCGGCTTGGAGGCGGGTCCCAGCAGCTCCGTGCGGCGAGGCCTGGGGGTCCTGGCAGCTCTGACCTACCTCTTTGGGGCAATCCATCATGGGGCTCCTGCACTGTGAGAAGGCACAGGCCAGGCTGAGAGACCCCTCTGCCCCCCGAGTGCATGAATTTCGTGCACCAGGCCTCTTGTTTAAAATAATAACAGGGTGGACTTCGTATCCTAGTTCCCATGGGTTTCTGGGGTTGACAGCCCTTCACAGCTCAGCAGGAGCAACATGAAGCTGTAGTAAGACTAACTTGCCCTGCAGCAGGCCTGGCACCCCTCCTTCCTTCCCCAGCCTCCACAGACATGCCTAATGGATCAAGCTTTCCAGGAGTCACCATCAATCATTGTACATCGACACCCAGCATGAAATTAACTTGCCAACCTGTCACCCTGTCATCCTCCTTGAGCCACCTTGAAGGCAAGCGTTTTGGAAGCTGTGGGCTGTGAGACCGAGAGCCCCGGAAAAAAAGCGAGGAATGGTGGCAGAGGCTGCTCAGGCCCGGCCCACTGTTCTCAGATTGCTCATGGAAAGGGCTTTGCTTTGCTTCTTAGCTCAGCAACGCTCTGCCCAAGGGATGCTCAGGGCTGCGTCCTTCTAGGACTCACCACTCTGGCAGCTCTAGCTCACCTCACTTGCACCACTCACCTCCCACCAGCTCCCTCTGCTCTGACCAGAGACGGAGCCCTTGAGGTACAGATGGCAACCGGTCACAGCTGCAGATTGGGAATGCCAGGGAGAAGTCACTCAGGGGCTGTCCATCCCGGGGCAAAGCATGGCCTAGAGAGGCCACACCCAGGCACTGCAGGCCTTGGGAGAGACCCTTCATGAGGCAGGAGAGGTGTTTCCTCCAGGACTGAGGTGAGGCCCAGACAGAGCCCAGTGGCCTGGAGTCACAGCCTGAGTCCTTATCCGCTCCCCACCCCTTCCCAGAAAGGTAGTTGATCCCAGCTCTGAGACAGAACTGCTACTGGGAAAATTCCATTCGGGAAGAGGCTGGAGGATGAGGGAACTGGGCTCAGGAGATGGGGAGGAGGGATGGGAATTCTTTCCTCCCTGCAGGTCTGGATGGCTTCTTTCCCTAGAGAACCAGGCACCCTAACCCCACTCACCAGCCCCTAGCACCTCAGTGCTTCCTGCTCCCATGACCCTAACGAACCTCAAGCAGGCTCTGGAAAAACTGTGGGAACCAGCTGCAGGGAAGGCAGGGGACCACCAGGAGAGCGGGCTCCTGTTCCCATATTCTCAGCTGCTCTGGACAAACTGCTGCCTCCCACCCTGCCCAACCCCCTTTCCTTCCAAGACATCCGGGCTAGGAAGTAGCCTCCCTCCCTACCTCCACAGAGAGCAGAGGCAGGGCGTAAGAGAGCCCTTTCCACTAGCACAGGAGGCCACCGAATCCCTGAATGTCAGACTTGGAAACAGACAGGTCAGTTAGTCCTACTGCTTCCTTTCATGGCTAAGGGGACTATTTAACTTAAGAAGATACAAAAAGAACAGCAGAATAATCCCAAAGTAAGTAGGAGGAAGGAAATAGCAAAGATGAAAGCAGAAATAATGAAATGGAAGATACAGATACAATAGAAAAGATGAACAAAACTGAAAGCTAGTAGTAAGAAATGACTAATAAACTTACAAGCCTCTGATAAGACTAATATGAAAATAGAATCAGCACAGATAAGTAACAGGGGGACATGCTATCTATATTGCAGAGGTAAATTTAAATAGAATACTGCAAATAAACTAGAAACCTATGACAGTAAGTTTGAAAACCTTCACAGAATGAACACTAGCCTAGAAAAATATCTTACCAAAACTCACTCAAGAACAAATAGAAAAGTTGAAATGTAAACCCCCTAAAGACATTTAAATGGGTAGTTAAAAATCTACCCACACACCTCCCCCCTAAAAAAAAACTCACAATACCATTCCAGATGATTTTACAAAATTCTACTGTACAGTCAAAGAGCAATAGTTTCCATCTCTTATTAACTCTTCCAGAGAAAAGAAAAAGAAAGAAAACTTTCAGACTCCTTATAGGTTTAGTGTAACCTTATTAACAAAAACTAAATCAGGCAAGGACAGTGTCAGAAAGGAGCATAAATACAAAATTCTAAACAAATTGTTAAGAAACTGAATCTAGCATTGAATGACTAGCAAGCAAAAAATGATGCACCATAATCAAGTTAGGTTTGTCCCAGGAATTAAAAGATAGTTAAATATTAGAAAATCTATTAATACAGCTCACCACATTAACAGATTAAAGGAGAAAAACAATATGATCTTCTCAATAAATGCATAAAAAGCAATCAATAAAAGTCAACACTTTTGAAAACTGAGATATAATTGACATATGCCATTAGTTTCAGGTATTCAACATAATGATTCAATATTTGTATATATTGTGAAATGATCATCACAGTAGTCTAGTTACCATCTGATTAACACTTATTCTTTTAAAAAAACAAACTAAACAAAAACAGAAACATTGGAACAGAAGAAAACTTCATAGCCTAATAAATGATATTTTTCAAAAATCTACGTCAACTATTACCCTGAGTAATAATTCTAATAGTTAAGTGTT